AGATCACCAACCCGAGAGCCGTCCTGGAACGGGCGCTTCGGTCCTTTTCCTGTGTGACGGTGGGAGACCATATTTGCATTCCCCACAACGACAAATTTTATCACTTGGAGGTAGGTCATAGATATCCTGGGCCGCACACACCCTACACTGATGCGCTCCACGAGTTTATAAGCTTATCTGGATGGACCGCGTCATCTCGGAAATGCGCATCGTGGCACTGTGTTTGGAGGAGGGGGTGGGACGTCAGGCGGCTCTCGCGTCTTCTCCTGGGCCCTTGTCTTTAGGGGAAGCGCAGTCCCGGTGGTGTGGTCTTTCAAGCATTATTTATCGCCTCACGGTGTCCTTGTTTGGGCCCCTGGTTGTTCTCCTGGTGGTCATCTGTCTTCGATTGCTTCCTCCTCGTCCTTCGCGTCGCCGTAGTCTCCCCGGAGGGTGAAAGCAATGTTTAATGCTTTTCTATCTCGTTGTCTTTTGTGTCATCCTCCAGATACCTGCTTTTTTTAGGGACCTTCTTAACCAAACAAATCCACCTTGGCTCCTACCCTCCTTCCCCTCCTCCTTCCCTCCCTCCCCTCCTCCTTCCTCTCCTTCCCCAGGTCCTTGACGTGCAACCAAGTGAAGCCGCCTGTATCATCGAGACGGATTGCAACGTGGATTTCGAGGCCCCTGTGGGTTACGTGGAGCCAGGGCGGGAAGGAGGGAGGGAGGGAGGGAAGGCTGGGGGCGGGGCAAGCGCGACGAACGGGGGAGTGATTACTGCGCGGCCTCTGAGTGCGAAAGGTGGGTACACGGCAGACCACGAAGCCGCGGCCGCTGCGGCCGCAAAACGACAGTCGTCTTTCCTGGGCTCGGGGCAGCGCCTCGATGGGAAAACACCCGCGGGAGGGAAAGGAGCAAGCAAAGAGGGGGATAGCTTGGGCACATCAGGCACCTCGAGCTTGAGCTGCTCCCAGGGGGACGGGGCAAGAGGCGCCGACACGGACCAGCCTCCCCAAATTCTGGGTCGGACGATCAGCGGACGGGCACCATCGACCCTGGGGCGCGGGCTTTCCTCCACCTCTCACCCTCTTGGCGGGGAGAGTGTGGGCTCGAGCCTGTCGGATTCCATCACCTCCCCGGGCTCCGTGTCCACGTCGGCTTCCTCCGCGACGGCCGCTGGGGCCCACAAGAAACCCGCACTGACCAAATACAGCAGTAAAAAAGGCTTTCAATCGTTCGTGGGTGAAGGGAATAAATTATCGTAGAGGGGTTGGAAGTCGAGAGGGAAAAAAATCTGCAAGAGGAAGATGGAAATGTGCATAGATAGGCAAAAAAGGATGGCAGAGGTATCATAGGAAGAGCAAGCAACCCCCGAAGAAGGAAAAAAGCCAAAGGCAGACGATGCCCTGGTACGCGTGAACTTTGTATTCAGACGTTCGTCGTGCCACCTGGAGATGACCTTTCTTTGATGCTTCTTCGTTGCCAGCTAAATTGTTTCTTACTGGTGACCATGCTGCCACAGCCATGTGAGAAAAATCACACTGACAGTGCCCGCCCAAGCCGGCTAGGAGAGGCGGCGTTTAAGTTTAGCATAGCCTTTATTATTAGACCCTTATTACACGGCAATGACCATACGCGGCTAGCTAGCTAGAACTTCTTGAAGGTGGTACTACCTAGTAGAGGAGGGAGGAGGTTATCCCTCATCTCCGGTACGTGCCTGACACAATCCTTCGCATGTACTCAATTGACGACCTCTGAAATCCTCTATTAATGATGATTTTGTTCGAAGTGAAGCCGATGCGACCCACCTGTCCTGCACATAGCGTTACTGATTGCTGAGACATGACGGCTGACAGCATATCAAGTAGCCGTGCTTACTTCTTGTGATGACTCATGCATGCCTTTGTTTTCAACCAAATACACGATTCGTTGCACAGATAGATGGAATTGCTCTCTAGCCACAAAAGGAGCCGGTGCTTGTCTTGCGTGTCAGTGTCATTGGTCGTCGTCGGCCTCTTTTGTCGGGAAAGCACCATGGCCTGTGCTTTCCTCCATCGTCTGGTCGCCTCCGTACCGACCATTTCAACTACGATTGCCGGGCCCGCTGCCACGACGGCATGCAATTTTGGTCGTGGTAAAAATGTCCGCATGTTTGCCTCCGCCGCTGGGACGGTTGCTTCTCCTGCGGTCACCGCCCAGGAGGCTCTCTCGAAATATGAGGAACTAGCTAAGAACTTGCGGGAGATCGATGCATTGGAAGGAATTTCCGGTACGTCCTGACACTTCTGTGAGGGTTATCTGTCATTGCTCATGTATTCCTTGCGATGTAGGCATTCCTAACTCTCTTTCTAAAAGCGATTTATCCCCAGGACACGGACACGAATGTCCTCCGTCATCCAGGCCCCCCTGGCTCACCCCCTCCCTCCCTCCC